ATATTGATCAATAACTAGAATAAACATGGCCAGCACCAAATATATCTGAATCCTTGCCAACCGTCTTGACCGTTAACTCTTCTCTCTTCCATCCCAAAATTCCTTTAACTTCCTGTTATTTGTATTTAACAAAATAATACATTATTTTTACGAAACAAAATTGATATCTAAATGTTAGATATGTGACACACCACGCCCCTAATGAAACAAAATTGTGTGCAACAATTTTTTTTTTTTTAGCACAAAAATAAATATCTGATAACTTAATACTTAATTAAGAACTATTCATAGTTAATACTTCATTAATATTCTTAAAAATATGTACAAGTTCATCATCAAATAAATGTATACTATATTTACAATTTTTATCCTGATCAAATAACAATATATCTATTTGATTTTAAATCAAATCTATTTATAAAGTAGATATCATCACAATATCTCCTGTTAAGTCTAAGTTGTGGCAGGAATACACCTCTACTCAGTGATTATTCAATAATCATAATGTTATGCTTATGGATGCATGTCTTATAAATTCTCAATGATGCATGGCTTATACCCTCTTTTACTAATTTCAGACATTTGCATTAAAATTATATTCTTTATATTGTCATGATTTTATCACAACAAATGAAACAACATCAAAAATATAACACGGTTATGTAATCAATATCATTATGTCATCAAAATCATCATCATACCATATCATCATTGCAAATATGAATTAATCATATGTTCACATTTAATATTTCAAATATATTTTACTTCTTTAAGTGCATACCTTAAATTGAATCACCAATAGATTGTGTGTCATAATACAAGAATGAGAAAACAGATTATGTCCTCATTAGTATCAAAAACTGCATGTGTCTTATTTATTGTATCAAATTTATTATTAAAACATCAAATTGTTCACATTCTCTGACTTATGTGATTCAGTTCTGATTATTTGTCATCTTCAGTATTGTTAATTTGTCTTGATAAAAAATCTGCTATTGTGTTATCCTTGCCTTTTAAAAAGTAACATTGATAGTAACGTGCTTAAGTTCAGGATAATTACTCCTGTTATCTTACGTACGCCAGTACGGGATATTTACTAATGTTGTCTTACGTACGCCAGTACGGGATATTTTCTAATGTTGTCTTACGCTTCAGTTCGGGATAAATCAAAATATGTGGAGCTAATGCCGAAGGGCTAATTATTTCTTTGCTTCATTTAAACAAAAAACGACCACTTAATGGAATTTAAAAACATTCAATAGTGGATGACGCAATGAATCAATCGGATAAGTAGGCCGACTATTCTTTAAACTTAGAGTAGACCTAGTGCAAGTGCACCTGTTGCACCATGGTTGCTCTGGCAGTGGACATCGCTACAGCTTCGGGGCCGGCCACCATGTATGTAACGCCATTTTGGAATTATGCAACAAATCGCAGAACGCCCCTCCACCCCAAGTACGTCATTCCCACCCCTCCACCCCAAGTACATCATTCCCGCCCCTCCACCCCAAGTACGTCATTCCCCCTTCCACAACAAGTACGTCATTCCCTCCTCCACCCCAAGTTCGTTATTCCCCCTCAAAACCAAGTACGTCATCCCCCCACCCCAAGTACATCATTCCCTCCTTCTACCCCAGGTACGTCAATCACTCCCCCACCCGAAGTACGTCATTCCTTCCTCCACCCAAGTGCGTAATCCCCCCTCCACCCCAAGTACGTCATTCCCGCCCAACCCCAAATGCGTCATTCACCCCCCCCACCCCAAATGCGTCATTCCCCCCCTTCCACAAGATGTACGTCTTCCCCCCTCCACCCCAAGTACGTGATTCCCCCTCTACCCAAAGTCCGTCATCGCCCCCTCCATCCAAAGTACGTCATTACCACCTTCAAACCCACGTACGTCATTTCCCACTCCACCCAAAAACTTCATCTCCCACTCCACCCCAAGTACATCATTCCCCCCTCCACCCCAAGTACGTCATCCCCCACTCCATCCCACGTACGTCATCCCCCTCCACCTCAAGTACATCATCGCTGCTCCACCCCAAGTACGTCATTCCCCCCTCCACCCCAAGTCGTCATCCCCCCTCCACCCAAGTACGTCATCCCCAACTCCACCCCACGTATGTCATCCCCCTCCACCTCAAGTACATCATCCCCCTCCACCCCAAGTACGTCATTCCCCCTTCCCCAAAAAGTACATCATTAACACCTTCCACCCAAAGTACGTCACTCCCCCCCACCTCAAGAACATCATTCCCACACCACCGCAAGTACGTCATCCCCCTCCACCCAAAGTACATCATTCCCCCCTCCACCCCAAGTACATTATTTCCCCTTCCACCCAAAGTACTTCATTCCCCATCCACCCCAAGTACGTCATCCCCATTCAACCTAACGTACGTCATCCCCCACTCCACCCCACGTACGTCATTCCCCTCCACCTCAAGTAAGTCATGCCCCCTCCATCTCACGTACGTCATCCCCCTTCACCCAAAGTACATCATTCCCCCCTCCACCCCAAGTACATCATTTCCCCCTCTACCACAAGTACGTCATCCCCCTCCACCCAAAGTACATCATTTCCCCCTCTACCACAAGTACGTCATCCCCCTCCACCCAAAGTACATCATTTCCCCCTCTACCACAAGTACGTCATTCCCCATCCACCCCAAGTACGTCACCCCCTTCAACCTAACGTACGTCATCCCCCACTCCACCCCACGTACGTCATTCCCCTCCACCTCAAGTAAGTCACGCCCCCTCCATCCCACGTACGTCATCCCCCTTCACCCCAAGTACATCATTCTTCCCCCTCCACCCCAAGTACATCATTTCCCCCTCTACCACAAGTACGTCATTGCCCCCTCCACCCCATGTACATCATTTCCCCCTCGACCCCAAGTACGTCATTCCCACCGCCACCCTAAGTACGTCATCCCCCTCCACCCCAAGTACGTCATTTCCCACTCCACTCAAAAAGTCATACCCAATTCCACCCAAGTACGCCATTTCCCACTCCACCCAAAAACGTCATACCCAACTCCACCCCAAGTACGTCATTCCCCCACTCCACCCCAAGTACGCCACACGTTTGAATTAAACAATTATTTTTAATTAAATCTGATTCAATTTTAATCCAAGACATATTTTATAATTAAACTATTTTTTAATTTTTTATATTTAACTTCAAAGAGCGATCACAATATTAAAATGACTTAGTAGATTAAGGTAACCAGACACTGTAGGTGACATCTACGGTCAGACCACATACATCACAACATTAAGTTAATGTTTTAGGTCAGTCAATTTTAGGTCTAAAATTTACCATAAAAATGTGTGATATCACATATCAACTCTTTCCCCCCACCCCCCTTCACGGTCACAAATGGTCAGAATTTCTTAACTTCCAACCCCGCCCCTTCCGGAGAGTAACGTACCGTAGTTTATGGACGGCACTTCCACCCTACAACTGTTCAATCACTTCTCTAAAACTGTTCAATCACTTCTCTAAAACTGTTCAATTACTGCTCTAAAACTGATCAATTACTGCTCTAAAACTGTTCAATTACTGCTCTAAAACTGTTCAATTAATGCTCTAAAACTGTTCAATCATTTCTCTAAAACTTCAAATACTGCTCTAAAACTGTTCAATTACTGCTCTAAAACTGTTCAATCACTTCTCTAAAACTGTTAAATTACTGCTCTAAAACTGTTCAATTACTTCTCTAAAACTGTTCAATTACTGCTCTAAAACTGTTCAATTACTGCTCTAAAACTATTCAATTACTGCTCTAAAACTGTTCAATTACTGCTCTAAAACTATTTAATCATTTCTCTACCTATTTTAAATCCAAGCAGATTGGTCTATTTCATGGGGAACAATTCTGTATTGCGATATTTGATAATTCGTTTAACAAGGTAATATTTTGACAGAAGTCTCGTGGATCCCCTAAACGCGTGTATTAGGTTGAATGGGAGTCGCTTAGTCAATTATTTTGTCACGTGATATGAGTAAAAACGAGTAAGATTTCCGGTATACTGTATACAACACACTAGTGCTTGACAACAGCAGCCCGATACACACTACAACTACACTACATTTCGTCCAATGAAAATTAACAATAAAATAAACAAAGGGGAATGACTCCTGCATCAATATTGAATAAAAACGCAAATGACGTCATGAGCACGCACGGAGCTCAACAACATCCTGCCGATAATAGTATTGATAGTTCCCATCGAATATCGCTCACAAATTTTTCTTGAAATAACTTTCTTCCTTTAATTATAACTGACGTATATTTATTGTCACATTTAACAACATCCTGCCGATAATAGTATTGATAGTTCCCATCGAATATCGCTCACAAATTTTTCTTGAAATAACTTTCTTCCTTTAATTATAACTGACGTATATTTATTGTCACATTTATGTATTTCATTTAAAAAACGCTTGCATTCCATAATATTACGAAAGGTAAAATTTTTAATTAACATAACATTGGGGAAGCACTGATGAAGTATCTTTTGTTGTGTGTAGCAGCCTAGTGATGACTTACTCATATCACGTGACCAAACAAGGAAGTGACTAAGCGACTCCCATTGTTCAGAACCTAATAATACTATAATATTCCTTGTCCATATAAAGCAATGGACTGCGCATATGTGTAGACTTAGCAGCCTATTATTCATTGTAGGCTGCAGGCTTAGCATTTGCCTATACATATGTCCAAGAATTTAGGACTGCCATGTGAAAATACGACCTTTGAAAATAACATAAAAAAATGGAGATAGGGGGGTCCCAGTCTAGGATCCCTAGAGCTCACAGACCCTGGTCATGTTTCCCACCTTGTCCATGGGATAACCTGTCCCTGCCCAAAAAGCCCCCAGCCATTGCAAACTATTCTGCATCGTTTCTAAACATAAATTAGTGGAATTGTTCAGTGTTAGTGTTTTCCGGTGTGGAGCGTAGAATTGCGTCACTTCCTGAATTTGTATTTTTATCTGGTGCCTATTTGAGGCAAGCAGATCCAGTTTGGTATTTCCACTGTGTTGTACTTTTGCTGTTCTTAAAAAAGAACTACCGGTGATGGCAGGTCGCACAATCTCAGAAACGACGGAGGAGATTGAGGAGGACGAGGAGCAGCAAACACGGAATAACTTCTCCAAGGATGATCTAGAACTGGCTTCTGTAAGCGTCGACCCGACATTATTTGAGGAGTCATGCTTGGAACTTGGAGCTTTCAGGTGACACTGATAGTGACATATACAACGGTGGCACTAATAGTGACAAATACAACGGTGGTACTGATAGTGACATATTCAACGGCGGTATTGATAATCACAAATATATCGGTGGTATTGATAATCACAAATATATCGGTGGTATTGATAATCACAAATATGTCGGTGTTTTGTATTCTCTCTTGTGCGATACAAGAGATCGACTGGCATTGACGTACTCACGAAAACAGATTGCATATTTCAAATATTTTTCCGATATTCTATTCTATTTTGGTCGCCAGACTCTACGCTCTCCAAGCCATTCACCTGGCAATCGTGCTGGAGGACCTTTGTGATCAGCTGGACGTACTGGGGAGATCGTTGCCTACCACTCAGATAGAACTACGCTCCCAGAAGTCTGTTATCTATGACGACACGAACCACAGGGCCACCTGGAAACCGGATGCCATGGATGCTATGGTACGAACGGAGCCACCTACATCTGGTCACATGTTAGCCATTGTCTGCTTCACTATTCTCTTTTCTCTCTTTCTATTTGTTCTTTCTATCCCCCTCTTTCACCTTCTTTTCTCTCTTCAAGTTTCGCTTTCTGTTTCTCTCCTCTTTCAAACCAATTCTTGGTCTATAATTTACACATTTATCCTTCTATTCTCTACTCCCGTATCATCCTAACCTTCCATTATGTCCTTCTGTTTCGCACTTCATTGCATTTTATTTATTTCACATGAACTTATTTCATGTATTTTGAGTTATCGCTGTATTACTCTAAATTTCCCTATACCCTCTACCTCTCCATCTTTTCTATCTTCATTCCACACATATTCATTTACATAGACGGCACCCAGAAAACACCTACTCTTTCGTTCTGTACTGATACGTCAACAGTGGTGGCACACAGAAAACACCTACTCTTTTGTTCTGTTCTGAAACGTCAGCAGTAGTGGCACACACAAAACACCTACTCTTTCGTTCTGTATTGATGCGTCAGCAGTAGTGGCACACAGAAAACACCCCATTTTCTTATATGCATGTCGTTTAAAGTGATGACATACAGAAAATATACCACTTTCAGATTTGGCCATCGTATGTTATTTTTAATTTTAAATCTTAATCTAAGTGCTCAATCATAAGTCTACACAATCATGCTAAGGGATGGCTGGCATTGACTCCTACATGCCATGAAATAGGCTGGCATTGACTCCTACATGCCATGAAATAGGCTGGCATTGACTCCTACATGCCATGAAATAGGCTGGCATTGACTCCTACATGCCATGAAATAGGCTGGCATTGACTCCTACATGCCATGAAATAGGCTGGCATTGACTCCTACATGCCATGAAATAGGCTGGCATTGACTCCGAGATGCTATGATATGGCTGGCGTTGACTCTTACATATCGAATAGTATCGAGTATCTAAGGCCCAAAATATTATGTTCTCCTGAATACACTTCACTTAGGTAAAAAGATAGTAAACTGAGGATTGAGTGTGTGTGGAAAGGGATGTCTGTTTGATTTGAAGGCTGGTGGGGGAAAAGGCATAGAACATATCTTATTACCTTGAAAACGCTAAAGCTTGTGTGCAGTATCAAAGTATGTCTGTTTCTTAATTATTATTATATATTGGGTGCATCAATTTGCTATCCATTTCCAAGAGTAAAATTCTTTTGTTAAAAATTGTTTCCGATATCCACTCAGAGCGAAAACAAAGGTTACTCCTTGGAGCAGCACTACGCGTCCATCCTACCCAGGCGTATCTATGAATCTCACTACCTCATGCCGAGACCCAGGTGTGACAGAAAGCTGCTCTTACTGGTAAGCACTGGTGTTCTGAGATATAAAGTGGGACTGTAAAGGCTGTCACCCTTACAAGTACGGTCGTTGGTGTTGTAAGACTTCTACATCACCTATTAAACTGTCACACATGCGATCGTTGGTGTTGTCATTGTCACATTGTGTCAACACGTTTTTCAAGATAGTAATGCCAAAGTATGGGCAGAGGCGTAGCTACGGTTAGAAGAGCTTCGGGGTGGGATACGCGTTTTGACACCCCCCTCCACGAAATGAACATGGAAGTTGTATGAAAATGCTGTAAACCCCTCAGTGTAAAGAAAAAAGTGCCGCCCTACGTGGACTGCCACTACGCCCCCTTCCATCTTACGCCACTGAGAATTGGGAGATATAGAATAGCTTAAACATATAGGGAGACGTAGAATACAAGTCAAGCCACCGAACAGTGTGAGCTGGTGAGTACATTTTTATGTACACAGAACAGTGTGAGCTGGTGAGTATATTTTTATGAACACAGAACAGTATGAGCTGGTGAGTACATATTTTATGTACACATAACTGTATGGTATGGTGAGTATGGTATGGTGAGTACATGTTTTATGTACACAGAACTATATGATATGGTGAGTACATGTTTTATTTACACATAACTATATGGTATGGTGAGTACATGTTTTAGGTACACATAACTATATGGTATGGTGAGTACATGTTTTATGTACATAGAACTATATGGTATGGTGAGTACATTTTTATGAACACAGAACAGTATGAGCTAGTGAGTACATGTTTTATGTACTTATAACTGTTTGATGTGGTGAGTACATGTTTTATGTACTTATAAATGCATGATGTGGTGAATACATGTTTAATCTCCACAGGCAAACAGCCATCAGACTTAAATCAGACACCAGAAAGACATCAGATAGACATCCGACAGTCATAAGACAAACGTTTGCATAATTTAGATTTTCGAAGTTAGAGAAAATTAAAATTTCTCCTGGAGTCCCGGAATTTCTCTCCTCTGTTTTCCTTGGGGGTCGTCCATTAATTATGTCAACAAAATAGGGGCTAAGGGGTTTGGAAAAAATGACAATTGTTGACAAGGGGGAGGGGGGTTTAGATTAGTTGAAGTCAACAATCAAGTTTTCTCTATTAAAATTTAATCTTAAAAATTGACTAGTTATTACATTATTTTAACAAATTTAATGAGTGTAAATTTAAAAAAAAAAAACGTTTATAATTTGTAGCATTTTAATAATATAAGATTTATTTAATGCGTGTCTTTCTTTGCACTGCTGATGGCTGGTCAGAATGTTGGCACATTTAATTAATGCAAGAGAACTCAAAAGTTGGCCTCTCTTCGACTTAGATTCTGTCGCAAATGACTAGGACGGTATGTTTGCGGTCATGTTGCAGGTATGCAACAAGGACAAGGTTCAAGAGTCATGTGCGGTCAAGATAAATGGTATTTATAGAGAAGGAATTCGATATTTTGAGAATTAGGGGAAAATAAAGTGAGTAACAATAATACCATCACTGCTTGAACGGATTTGAAAAATCTGTAACATCTATTTTGCATCACAAGTCATAATTGAAATAGCAAGTTCAACAGCACCAACAATGCATAAGATATTAACACCTGCTCCTGAACACACAAAAAAAGGATTCGACTAGTGCAAGTAGCTGCCAAGAGACACAGAGAGCTTATAGCAATTATTGCTAACACTGACAATGGTTCTATTTTAAGAGCTGAGTGGCTTGCTGAGGAGGGTGTTGACTTGTCTGCTATATAAGTTCCGCTAGATGAAAATGATAAATCAGCTACTATGTCCATTCTACGATAGATAGAGCAACACCTGGATACTCACTGGGAAGATGATATCAGCTAGAAACTATGCTACAATTGTGAACTATACTGACAATAATCATATTTCTATTTCAACAAACAATGATATTTAGTCTTTAACAACCGATTATGCATTATGACATTCAAGTGTAAAAACGTTTAAACTTGTTGATTAACAAGGTAAAGGTGCAACAAAAGGTTTTTCCTACAATTTTGTATTATTAAAATACAGCATCATAAAGTAAAATTTATTTATATCTTTATTGATATTATAATTTTGTGGGGGTAGGTTTACCCAATGTTGACATAATTACTTGGGGGGGGGGGCCTCACTGAAAGTTTAACAGTTGTTGGCAAAAGGGGGGAGGGTTCAAAATTGCTTAGCAATTGTTTACGTAATTAATGGACGGCCACATCAGCACTGGGAGAGCCCCATCATTGGACTGTAATTACGTAAAATAAAAAGACAAACAGGTATGTAGATAAACATGACTGAGATTTTTTCAACGCTTTAACACAGCTGAAAGAGAGTGGGCTCAAGCAAGACACTGTTTCCGGCAAGATTCAGGCAGACAGGGCATTTTTGCAATGGGCAATCCAAGCAGTGATTGATGACCTCATCAGGGTAAGCATCATCCAACTGAGAACCAATGACCAATCTGTCGTGCCCTGTCTATTGCGCCCTGTATTTGGTTCAATGTCAATCGTGCCTTGTCTGCATCGCCCTGTTTATCGTGACAAAAGGAACATGTTTACTGTAGATACAATCGCAGAAGGAATTCAGACAATGTTAAGGTCAATCATATACATCGTTCTATACGAGGCCTGCTCTAAATCGATTGAAAGTCATTTTGCAAATATCCTGGCCTGGCCGTCACATTTTTTTTTATCTATATATATAATTTGCCAGAAACTAGGCCAAACAACAAGACAACCACCACGCAGGCTATATATAGATACTCGCGGCGTCTGCTAAGCCGCGGGTCGGCTATATTTATAGAGCTCATGGACGTGAAATAAAAAGGGTGCCGTGACGTATCATGAAAAATCGGGGGAGGGGGGGGGAAGGGGTGTAGCAATATAGGCATTCTTAAATGTGCGTAACTTGAGCTCACGTTTTTGTCAGGTAACTTTAGTAGATGGGAAGTTCACGCATTGCTGTCGCCAATGTTAGGCGGGATATGTCTAGCATTTATACATTTAATAGTTTCTTTGTTGGTCCGACACATGCTTCTTTATGTATTCTTCAAAACGGTTTCTAAATTTTTCCTGGAGTTAACCAAATGAAACAGATTCCAGCCCAAATAGTTATATTTACATTCAATGATACATATTGCGTAGACACTAACCTCTGTATGATTTACGACACTATCCTATGTATGCTTTACGACACTATGCTATGTATGCTTTACAATTCTCATCTCTGTGTGCTATATGACACTACTCTCTGTGTGTTTTAAGACGCTAGTCTTTTGTGTGCTTTACGACGCTACTCTCTGTGTACTTTACGACGCTACTCTCTGTGTGCTTTACGACGCTACTCTCTGTGTGCTTTACGACTCTACTCTCTGTGTACTTTACGACGCTACTCTCTGTGTGCTTTACGACGCTACTCTCTGTGTGCTTTACGACACTATCCTATGTATGCTTTACAATTCTCATCTCTGTGTGTTATATGACTCTACTCTCTGTGTGTTTTAAGACGCTAGTCTTTTGTGTGCCTTACGACGCTACTCTCTCTGTACTTTACGATGCTACTCTCTGTGTGCTTTACGATGCTACTCTCTGTGTGCTTTACGACTCTACTCTCTGTGTACTTTACGACGCTACTCTCTGTGTGCTTTACGACTCTACTCCCTGTGTACTTTACAACGCTACTCTTTGTGTGCTTAACGACGCTACTCTCTGTGTGCTTTACGACGCTACTCTCTGTGTGCTTTACGACGCTACTCTCTTTGTGCTTTACGACGCTACTCTTTGTGTGCTTTACGACGCTACTCTCTGTATACTTTACGACGCTACTCTCTGTGTACTTTACGAGGCTACTCTCTGTGTACTTTACGACGCTACTCTCTGTGTGCTTTACGACGCTACTCTCTGTGTGCTTTACGACACTATCCTCTGTATGCTTTACGATTCTCATCTCTGTGTGTTTTATGACTCTACTCTCTGTGTTGTTTACGACGCTAGTCTTTTTTCTGTGTACTTTACGACGCTACTCTCTGTGTGCTTTACGACGCTACTCTCTGTGTGCTTTACGACACTATCCTATGTATGCTTTACAATTCTCATCTCTGTGTGTTATATGACTCTACTCTCTGTGTTTTTTAAGACGCTAGTCTTTTGTGTGCTTTATGACGCTACTCTCTGTGTACTTTACGACGCTACTCTCTGTGTACTTTACGACGCTACTCTCTGTGTGCTTTACGACGCTACTCTCTGTGTGCTTTACGACGCTACTCTTTGTGTGCTTTACGACGCTATTCTCTGTGTACTTTACGACTCTACTCTCTGTGTACTTTACGACGCTACTCTCTGTGTGCTTTACGACTCTACTCTCTGTGTACTTTACGACGCTACTCTCTGTGTGTTTTACGACGCTACTCTCTGTGTGCTTTACGACGCTACTCTCTAAGTGATTTAAGATTTTTGTTTCGTACCATGTTAGTGTCTAATCTTATTGTACAATGTCAAGTGCTATTGTCCATTGTTATTGTCCAAATTTATCGTCCAACGGTCAGTGTTATATTCCATTGTTATTGTCCAATTAAACTCAATCTTGATGTCCAATATCTGTGTACTTGTAGGCGGGTGAAGAAGACGCTACTCTCTGTGTATTATGCGACGCTACTCTCTGTGTACTATGCGACACTACGCTCTGTGTACTATGCGACGCTACTCTATATATGCTTATGACGCTAGTCTCTGTGTGGTTTACGAAGCTACTCTCTGTTCGATTTTTTTCATTAGCCTCTATGTGCTTTACCGACTTGTAACTAGTGATGAGTTTATTCAGGGATTAAGTCATGGGATACGAAGCGTGAGAACCACTGGCGTCGCTAAGTTTAGTGCAGCAGAGGAAAGTATTCAAGATTTATGGATCCCCCCCCCCAACCCCAACCCGCTATGTATTTATGCTAAGAAACAATTATTACACATTGCATAACTAGTGATGAGTTTATTCAGGGATTAAGTCATGGGATACGAAGCGTGAGAACCACTGGCGTCGCTAAGTTTAGTGCAGCAGAGGAAAGTATTCAAGATTTATGGATCCCCCCCCCCCAACCCCAACCCGCTATGTATTTATGCTAAGAAACAATTATTACACATTGCAGGATTAAATACGCTTCCATCGAATAGTAGAAGACGTGTAGCCATAATAAGAGTTGACCTGTATGTCATACTAATAAATCGTCACCACAGTTGGTGTTGATAATTATTACGTGTATATGCTTGCCATAAAGATCACCATCTCTCAAAGAGACTCTACTGCAGGGCTGCTGAAAACATGACAGACAAACCGGTGCAAAGCGTTCTGCAGGACTCACGTTCTCATTGTGGTCCACGTTGTTTTTAAAACATAATAATATAAGCAACTCTTAATTTTCTTCTTGATCATCAACTTCCGGTAAATACTAACATAGACATTGAATGTGATGACCATTCGTTATGACAAGGGTCGTCTTGGCAAGGCACGATACTATGGCCTCCTACTGGCTTTAGGGACGTCTTGGCAAGGTGGGGTACTATGGCCTCCTACTGGCTTTAGGGACGTCTTGGCAAGGCAAGGTACTATGACCTCCTACTGGCTTTAGGGACGTCTTGGCAAGGCAAGGTACTATAGCCTCCTACTGGCTTTAGGGACGTCTTGGCAAGGCAAGGTACTATGGCCTCCTACTGGCTTTAGGGACGTCTTGGCAAGGCAAGGTACTATGACCTCCAAGTGGCTTTAGGGACGTCTTGGCAAGGCAAGGTACTATGACCTTCTACTGGCTTTAGGGACGTCTTGGCAAGGCAAGGTACTATGGCCTCCTACTGGCTTTAAGTGCGTCTTAACATTTAACACTTACCAGCAACTCGGGGCCATAGGTCTCTCTGTTCCAGGAAAAAATGCTTCAAATTGCCTTAACTCCCAAAACCCTCACAAAATGCTAAACAATTCACTTAAAATAAAACTTCGGTAATGGAGATGGGAAAGGAGGGGGTGTGTAGTGGGACGATGTTCCCTCATTAGGATATAGACAACAAATAGGCTTATATAAAATACATTTAATTGTAAATATATATATATATATATATATATATATATTTGGCATTTAGCCAGAGGAAATGACAGAGGAACGAAGAGGGTACATCACCAATACCCCAGAGGAAAAAGGCTCAAAGGCAGACCTAGGCTTAGGTGGATATATGATGTAGAAAAAGATCTACAGCAGCTGAAAGTCCAAGCATGGAAAAGAAAGGCATTAGTTAGGTCTGAGTGGAAGGAAGTAGTGAGGCAGGCCAAAGTCCTACATGGGCTGTAGCGCCACAGGGATGGATATATATATATATATATATAAATATATATATATATATACATTGATTCCGGGGATATTGCATAAAGAAAGAAGCCGATGTTGTTAAAAAACATAAACCAAGGGCGCCGAAGTCTCACGAGCCAATGGGAGAGTCTGATTAGGGGGCTCAGTGAGCCCCCTCCCCCAGACATTGTTTGAGAAATCCAAAATTCAGGGATGAATTTTGGCAAACATTTAAATTTATGTTTGCTAAAATCTGCACACTGATAGCAAAGGAAATTGCCATTAATGTTTCAATATTATGCCCGTAGGAGCGAGAGGTCCCTAGAAACGTCAGGGCCAAGGCAACTTCCCAGTGTGCCTGTGCCTGAAGACGTCACTCGCGATGATGCGTGATAGTAAAAAAAGGTGAAGGTAGACAAAATGTGGGATATTTACAAGTTACAAACAAAAGCCCGTCTTCATCGAGGATTAATTTCCACAGAACAGGTCGTTCGATAGTTTGAACAAGGTTGTACAAAGTGAGAGGGACAAAAGGGAACAACTTTTTGGCATGTTCAAGAAAATGAAGGATGACACGGAGCTCATCAAACAACTGAAGGCGAGTTCACAGAATGAGACAGAGACTGAAATATGGTCTAGCACTCATTTTTTTCTTGTTGCTATCGTTTGATCAAAAATCAGTATTACAGTAATTATAATAATATTACTAATAGGGAATGTTATAATTATTATATTTATTTTACGATCTTCAACACCATTAGGCTGATCATTTATTTTATTTTTATTTAATACAATTACTCAATCTTATTTATAAAACGGTTAATTTTGAGACTTCGCAAGTAGCACGTAATGCTTTCCGTGTTTTCCGTCAACACCGGACCATATCTTCTAGTATCTACATGTTATAGCCAAGGTTTGCAATCTGGGCATTATATAGAATGCCTGACGATTTCAAAGTATGATCAATCGGAAAGGATTCTATACAATGTCTAAGCACTCGGCAATCAACACACACACACACATATATATATATATATCTATCTATATATCTATCTATCTATATATATAATTTTTTATATGTACGAGTAGCGCTTAAGCAATGTATTATCGTCTCGTGCAGGTAGATATTAAAGTGATGAAGAAGCAGAAGATAAGAGATAATCAGTTGTTAGATGCTCAGATATTTGAAGTCAAAGACCATCTTCTGGAGATGAATATCAGAAAACCAATGGAACATGTGTACACACAGAATATAGGTAGGCTAAGTGTGGAAAGTGGACAATGTGTACACGTTTAATAGAGTTAAAAATGGACCGTGAATGTGGGTAGGTGTGCTCAACAAAATATATTTATACAAAAAAAGAAACGTTAGTGTGGGCAGAGGGACTTACGTACACAAATAATTGGTGTAAGAGTGGACAATGGACTAAATATACTCATAGAATGTGGGTAAGTATGGACAGTGTACACATAGAATGTGAGTAAAATGGAAAAATAGGCTATATGCAGACATATAGTATGAGAAAGTGGGGAATAAAGAATATGGACCCATCTGGAATGTGTGTAAGTGTGGGCAATGGAAAATGTGTGCCAACATTCTGTTTTGATGATAATTTATGTGTTGACGGTTGAATGTACCGGTATGTCAATGTGTCCAAATTATGTGTTTTATGATAATCTATGTGTTGACAATTTAATATGTTTCCAACAAAAAAAAATAAAAAAAAAATTAAAACAAGAATATTTGAATGATGGAAAATATTGGGCAAGTTATCAAAATGTCTTCAATAGAAAAAATGTGAAATGCTTTTTATCAAATTATGAAATGATTGTATCAATTATTTCACATCTTTTTATTATATTATAAAAAAGGCAATGTGCGATTCTGGTTAAATTACCTCCACCTTTTTTAGGTAAGACGATCATTAAAACCTCAGATTACCTCCATCTTCTGTAGGTAAGGTGGTCATTAAAACATTAGATTACCTCCGCCTTCTGTAGGTAAGACGGTCATTAAAACCTCAGATTACCTCCACCTTCTGTAGGTAAGACGATCATTAAAACCTCAGATTACCTCCACCTTCTGTAGGTAAGACGATCATTAAAACATTAGATTACCTCCACCTTCTTTAGGTAAGACGATCATTAAAACCTCAGATTACCTCCATCTTCTGTAGGTAAGGTGGTCATTAAAATCTCAGATTACCTCCACCTTCTGTAGGTAAGACGGTCATTAAAACCTCAGATTACCTACACTCTCCTAGGTAAGGCAATCATTAAAACCTTAGATTACCTAACCATCTCCAGGTAAGGCAATCATTAAAACCTTAGATTACCTAACCATCTCCAGGTAAGGCAATCATTAAAACCTTAGATTACCTAACCATCTCCAGGTAAGGCAATCATTAATACCTGAGATTACCTACACCCCTCCCAGGTTAGGCGATCATTAAAACCTTAGATTACCTAAACGCTCTCCAGGTAGGGCAATCATTAAAACCTTAGATTACCTAAACGCTCTCCAGGTAAGGCGATCATTACAACCTTAGATTACCTAAACACTCTCCAGGTAAGGCGATCATTACAACCTTAGATTACCTAAACACTCTCCAGGTAAGGCAATCATTACAACCTTAGATTACCTAAACACTCTCCAGGTAAGGCGATCATTACAACCTTAGATTACCTAAACGCTCTCCAGGTAAGGCGATCATTACAACCTTAGATTACCTAAACGCTCTCCAGGTAAGGCGATCATTACAACCTTAGATTACCTAAACACTCTCCAGGTAAGGCGATCATTACAACCTTAGATTACCTAAACGCTCTCCAGGTAAGGCGATCATTACAACCTTAGATTACCTAAACGCTCTCCAGGTAAGGCGATCATTACAACCTTAGATTACCTAAACGCTCTCCAGGTAAGGCGATCATTACAACCTTAGATTACCTAAACGCTCTCCAGGTAAGGCGATCATTACAACCTTAGATTACCTAAACGCTCTCCAGGTAAGGCGATCATTACAACCTTAGATTACCTAAACACTCTCCAGGTAAGGCGATCATTACAACCTTAGATTACCTAACCATCTCCAGGTAAGGCGATCATTACAACCTTAGATTACCTAAACGCTCTCCAGGTAAGGCGATCATTAAAACCTTAGATTACCTAAACGCTCTCCAGGTAAGGCGATCATTACAACCTGAGATTACCTAAACGCTCTCCAGGTAAGGCGATCATTAAAACCTTAGATTACCTAAACGCTCTCCAGGTAAGGCGATCATTAAAACCTTAGATTACCTAAACGCTCTCCAGGTAAGGCGATCATTAAAACCTTAGATTACCTAAACGCTCTCCAGGTAAGGCGATCATTAAAACCTTAGATTACCTAAACGCTCTCCAGGTAAGGCGATCATTAAAACCTTAGATTACCTAAACGCTCTCCAGGTAAGGCGATCATTAAAACCTTAGATTACCTAAACGCTCTCCAGGTAAGGCAATCATTACAACCTTAGATTACCTAAACGCTCTCCAGGTAAGGCGATCATTAAAACCTTAGATTACCTAAACGCTCTCCAGGTAAGGCAATCATTACAACCTTAGATTACCGAAACGCTCTCCAGGTAAGGCGATCATTAAAACCTTAGATTACCTAAACGCTCTCCAGGTAAGGCGATCATTAAAACCTTAGATTACCTAAACGCTCTCCAGGTAAGGCAATCATTAAAACCTTAGATTACCTAAACGCTCTCCAGGTAGGGCAATCATTAAAACCTTAGATTACCTAAACGCTCTCCAGGTAGGGCAATCATTAAAACCTTAGATTACCTAAACGCTCTCCAGGTAAGGCAATCATTAAAACCTTAGATTACCTAAACGCTCTCCAGGTAGGGCAATCATTAAAACCTTAGATTACCTAAACACTCTCCAGGTAAGGCAATCATTACAACCTTAGATTACCTACACCCCTCCCAGGTAGGGCGATGATCGAAGGGATCAAGAAAAGAAACCTAAAAGTTGAGAAGGATTTCGCCCGTCAACTGAAGCACGCAAAGCTCGCCGTGGGCAACGAAGAGACCGCTCATCAGAGTATGAAACAGATAATCAACCAGAATATCCAACGTTCAAAGGTAGGGCGCACAATTTTGTCTACGCTTACTCAAGGTCGCTCTATAAAGGGAGGGGGTTGTTCGAAAGGGGCAATCACCCGGGCATCAGCATTATGGCCTGGGGGGGCGGGTCTAAAGTGACTTTAGATGGGAGATTTATTATGAATTAAATGACAAAGTGAAATGTACTTGACAAAAACAAGGCGTCCCGAAATGTTTTTTTACTAGTCAGCGCTGGGCGGCACTTTTACCTTGTATTTGTGGAATCCATGTTCAGGCTTCACCCCGGGCGCCATTGTTTCTCGTATTGCCCTGGACGACCCTGCGTCCCGGCTTTTTTGGGATGTTATCGGTTTAGCAACGTTAAACCAGCGTCTCGGTCAGTTTAATTTTCTGTACCGGTAATAATTGGATATTCTGTCTCAGTCAGTTGGATATTCTGTCCCGGTCAGGTGAATATTCTGTCCCAGTCAGTTTAATATTATGTACCGGTCAGTTGGATATTCTGTCCCGGTCAGGTGAATATTTTGTCCCGGTCAGGTGAATATTCTGTACCGGTCACTTGAATATTCTGTCCCGTTTAGTTGAATATGCTGTCCCGGTCAGTTTAATATTCCGTCCCCGTCAGTAATATTCTGTCAGGGTCAGTTGAATATTCTGTACCTGTAAGTTTAACATTCTGTACTGATAAGTTCAATATTTTGTCCCTGTCAGTTTAATATTCTGTCCAGGTTTGTAATATTTTGTCCCGTCAGTTTAATATTCTGTCCAGGTTTGTAATATTTTGTCCCTGTCAGTTTAATATTCTGTCATGGTTTAAATTACGATTTAAAAAAAAATAACGTCATCATATCTAGATAGAAAGTATGTAAATCTCGTCTTGTTTGACTTCCCATTGTGTTAGTCCCAGCTCGAGTACTGGATGGAGAAGTTTGAGAAAGACACGGTGCGACTGCAGCAGGAGCTGGACGAACTGAAGACATACAGGGCCAAGGCCTTGAGTCGGATAGCATGGCTCAGGAAGATGATAGCCAACTATGAGGAGATCGTCATTGATGACAGGTGAGATGGGTGTGACGTTCAGGTATGATGTCATGGGTGTGGCTCTGTCAAAAGGGCGAGTCTTTTTTTTTCACCAGTTGTTTGGTGTTGTAAGATTTTTTAAAAGTCTAAATTGTATTTTAATCATAGCATTAACGGGATATCCACAGGACAATTATAGCAGGAAATCAAAAAGTCAGTTATAGCATTAGCGGAAGATACACAAGTTATTTATAGCATTAGTGGGAGATCCAAAAGTCAGTTATAGTTTTTGCGGGAGATCCACAAGACAGTTATAGCATTAGTGGGAGATCCAAAAGTCAGTTATAGTTTTTGCGGGAGATCCACAAGTCAGTTATAGCATTAGTGGGAGATCCAAAAGTCAGTTATAGTTTTTGCGGGAGATCCACAAGACAGTTATAGCATTAGTGGGAGATCCAAAAGTCAGTTATAGTTTTTGCGGGAGATCCACAAGTCAGTTATAGCATTCGCGGGTGTTCTTTTTTTTAAAGAGACTTGTGTAATTTTATCAGAGGAATTCCAATAATGTGTTGACACTGGACGGGCCTGGTAGATGTTTACTTATAGACGCAATAGATAAACAAACTTGTGGGAAAACAAGGAAGCGCAAAAACCACAGAGGCCTCCCCTTGCCCAGGCCCCTCCCCTAATTCCGCTCAGTAGTCTTCAGAACCCTCACTTTCTGCTTGACTGTCCCTTATCCCAATCCCACTTCCCAACCACCACTATCCCCTTATCCCGATCCCTCTTCCCAACCACCTCTATCTCCTTATCCCCATCCCACTTCCCAACCACCATTATCCCCTTATCCCCACCCCTCTTCCAACCACCACTATCCCCTTATCCCCATCCCACTTCCCAACCACCACTATCCCCTTATCCCAATCCCTCTTCCCAACCACCACTATCCCCTTATCCCCATCCCACTTCCCAACCACCACTATCCCCCTATCCCCATCCCTCTTCCTCCCCTTATCCCCACCCCTCTTCCACCCACCACTATCCCCTTATCCCCCTCCCACTTCCCAACCACCACTATCCCCCTATCCCAATCCCTCTTCCCAACCACCACTATCCCCTTATCCCCATCCCACTTCCCAACCACCACTATCCCCTTATCCCCATCCCTCTTCCCAACCACCACTATCCCCTTATCCCCATCCCACTTCCCAACCACGACTATCCCCTTATCCCCACCCCTCTTCACAACCACCACTATCCCCTTATCCCCACCCCTCTTCTTAACCACCACTATCCCCTTATCCCCATCCCTCTTCCCAACCACGACGATGGCTATCAATCCGTATCCCTTTTCCCAGTGTTTGCAAGGCGCTATAAATCAAGTTCCTATTGACATGAGATAATTCAAAAAAAAATCTACAAACTCACAAGTTGTTTTTGTGATGTTTCCCTTACCGGATCTTTGGTGACGTTCTGAAAAGCATGATCTCTATTTACATTAAAAAAGTCCTCGGCAAAGGTTGATACTATCAGCCTCCACACTTGTTGCATTAACATCTTGACGTGTAAGAAAATCCGCCTACTAACGTATTCTTAATGTTTACATTACTCTTATGACGAAGATATTTCATACGTTTACATTACTCTTATGACGAAGATATTTCATACTTTGTCTGACGCCGTAGAGAGTTGTTTATTTAATGTACACATTTGTGACGCATACAAGCTGATTGTCCCGCTGGCGCTGAGCGTCCCGGACAGACCAAATGAAATATAGACATGATAGGTCTTTTCTTATCTATAGACTTGTCACACATGTTACAGATATGTAAATCCACATGGGGGGTCAAGAATATGACCTCATTACAAATGCTCACTTAAAATATATCTAATGGTGTCCACTGTTAGTGTTTAATTTTTGTTTTCAAAAGTCTGTGCCCAATGTTTATGTCCAATGTTTTAAGTCTCATATTTGTGTCCAATGTTTGTGTCCAATGTTTTAAGTCTCATATTTGTGTCCAATGTTTATGTCCAATGTTTTAAGTCTCATATTTGTGTCCAATATGTGTGTCTCATGCGTGTGTCCATTAGTGTGTCTAGTGTTTGTGTCAAGTGTTTGTTTCCAATGTTTCTGTCCATTTTTTTGGCCAAATATTTATGTCCCATATTTAGGTCCAATATTTATGCCCAATGCTTGTGTCCAGCATTGTGTCTCGTGTTTGTGTCAAGTAGTTAAGTCCAAAGTGTGTGTAAATGTTTATGTCCAATATTTGTGTCCAATGTTTGTGTCAAATATTTGTGTCAAATATTTATGCCAAATATTTATGTCCAATCTTTATGGCCAATGCATTTGTCCAGTATTATTTCCAGTGTTTGTGTCAATATTTGTGTCCAAGGTCTGATTAAAGTAATTGTATCCAGTGTTTGTGTCCAGTGTATGTGACCAGTGTTTGCGATAATGTCCAATGTTATTCTGTACCTTTTTAGTGTCTAATCTTATTGTCCAATGTCCAGTGTTATTGTCCATTGTTATTATTCAATTTTAAAACTAAATCTTGATGTCAAATATCTGTGTACTTGTAGGCGGGTGAAGAAGATCCACGCTGACCGGTTGGCAAAGCATGATAAGGAGATGAAGGCTGCCACCAAGGTCCAGTCGTGGTGGCGTGGCTTGATGGTCAGGGAGTTGATGGGACCGTTCAAAACGTTGTATATCGAGCTCAAGGCCAGGAAGAAATCAATCACCAAAAAGACAAAATAAGAACCGTTGAAGAAACAATAAGACAGAATCATCTGCAGGAAAAAAATATCTCAAGCTATTGCCTGGTTTAGAAATGAAAACAAAAGGACATCTTACTTTTGTGTCAACAATCTGGCTAAAGGCAGAGTACTATTTTATGATGATGGTTTTAAAGAGGACAATAATCAAAGGACATTTAGTTGTTTACTTTAGCAATATGTATCCCTCAGATGCTTTATCGACATATTCATGGAAGATGAAAATATGAAATTATTCATTGGTCAAAAAGCAATGCTTTAAATTATGATTTAAACTCTCTAAAAAAAAATAATTAAAAAAGGAAGATATTAAACAGAAGATATTGAAAACACACACGATAATTTATGGATTCATATCAGAATAAATAAAGAAATAAACACATACCTATTTATACGTTTGCTCATTCCATAACCTAATAAATATTATGTGTAAACTTTTATTGTTTACGTTTTATGCAGTAGCATCTGAAAGTGTTGCCCAAACTCTGAATTTCTAAACTTGAATATATTAAAAAAGAGGATTATGATATAAAATGAAAGGCCTGTACCCGTCTTCTGACAGTTTCCGCCGTCATCGACTTCTGTCTTCTAATCCACACCCTCTAATTCAGCCCAAACCACACGGCTCAATCAGTCCTATGCCCTCGCCTCAATCTCCCTCATCCCTGTGCCCTCCTACACGAGCCAATCAGTCCTGTGCCCCCTCATTATTGTACTCTCCCCTAAATCCCCCTCAGCCCTGTGCCCTCCCACACGCCCTCCTCAGCCCTGTGCCCCCTTTCTATTGTACTTTTCCCTGGATGCCCCTTATTCCTGTGCCCTACCACACGCCCCAACCCTCCCGCAGTGCTGTGCCCCCCCCCCCACTTTCCTCCATTTCCGTTCTTTGCCACATTTCTCGCATTTGTGTGCTTCTTCCCTCCCCCCATACCCATGCCCCCTCCCCTAAACTCCCCCTCATGCTTGAGCCCTCCCCACACAAACCCCACCAGACTTGTGTCCTAACCACATCCATTTCATCATCCCTCAATGTGTTCAGCAATGGTGATATCGGTGAAAGGAATAGAGTGAGAAGAAGAGGACAGACATCAAATTGATCTTTTTGCTCGGGCATAGTGTTTATTAGGGCTAAAGTTCATATCTCTTTACATGAAATGCGAAACCCACCAGAAACTTTGACTTGCGTTGAACGTTGAACACAAATGTCGATGGCCTTGTACACATGACCTTGTACACATGGGCCACACTGAGCAAGTTGAAGCTTAACGATGACAAAACGGAACGACTCCTTATTCACGATCTCAAATCATCCTCTAACTCAGCTCTTCCCACCTCATTTCAAGGAGATAACTCCGGCATACAGTTTACATCCTCCGCTAGGAATCTCTCGATAACCATATCTCTCACATTTGTCGCTCTGCATACACCGCTATTCGTCCAATCAGCTCCATCCGCCACTACCTCACAGTTAGCGTAACAAAGATCCATGGTATATGCGCGTGTTACTCAATGTGGAGCCCACGCCCCACAGGGCGGAAGTGGGGGCAATTTGAATGTTAATGGGAGCTATTCGAGCCGTCTAGAATTTGAAAACCAACAATTTGGAGGCGTCTTTGAAGGCCAAACACAGTGGAACACCAACCGTTTGGAGGCGTCTTTGAAGGCCAAACACAGTGGAACACCAACCGTTTGGAGGCGTCTTTGAAGGTCAAACACAGTGGAACACCAACCGTTTGGAGGCGTCTTTGAAGGCCAAACACAGTGGAACACCAACCGTTTGGAGGCGTCTTTGAAGGCCAAACACAGTGGAACACCAACCGTTTGGAGGCGTCTTTGAAGGCCAAACACAGTGGTCATATTATGGTAGATTTAAATTACTTTCAAACATTAAAGCAATATTTAGGAAAAAGAACAACCCTAAATTCTTTCATTACTGCTCATACTGCAACTGACAATCATACTTTTGGATATTTATGAAATTTCGTTACTTACAGCTAAATTTGGAAAAAATCATACTTTAAGAAAGAATTTTATCAATCCATCAATATCAGCATTTCTTAAAACTGTTTTGGAAACAAACATGACAATTACATGAAAGCTACGCCACTTAGTCTAAGTTGCAAAAATGTTAGCAAAAGAAAAAAAAGACAAATGAGATGAAATGTGTGAAGATATTGAAATAGAACTTGTTGAAAAATTGAAAAAAAAATTCTCAGTTCAAACGAATGAATGACCACTGAGAGCAGTGAGGTCGTGCTGAAAACTTACTAAAGATATATTGATAAAGGAGATTTTGATGAAGAAATATTGTTCTGCAAATCATTAAAAAGTACCATTACTGCCAAAGAAATATATGATAAGCAAAATAATTACATAGACATAAATAATATACCAATAAAAAATATCTTGTGCTGCAGATAGCGGTCCTTATGTTATGGACAAGAAAATGGCTGCTTCAATTGATAAGGATGATAATCCAGAAATGCTTCTTGTGCAATGGGTTATTCATGAGGTAAACTTCGTAGACAATAATATTTCACGTCTTTTTAATGAAGTAATGAATTCAGCTCTAAAGTGTACCAATGCTATTAAATCTAATGCCAAATGTGTGAATGATAAAGAATGTGAAGAATAATTAATGCAGACCATGTGAGACTTTGACTTAACACTGATTATGCTTCTTCAGTCTGGGACCCATTTAACCCGGAGGACCATTGACAGGTTGCAGGCGGTTCAGCGACGGGCAGCACGCTTTGTCCTAAACCGCTACAGGAGTACCTCTAGTGATGGCAGCATGCTGGAAACACCGGGCTGGTCACCATTGGAGGAATGACGACTATCCAGGCTCTCCATATTGTAAATGATAAATAATGGGCTGGTCCACTGCTCTAGCATTAAACAGAAACTCGCCCCTCTCCCCCGTAGACATCGACGAGGCCATGACAGGCAATTCCGGCTCATACCAGCAAGAAGCCAGTATAGGAACTTCTCATTCCTGCCAAAGACAATTAGGGGCTGCAACAAGCTTTCAAAAGGAACAGTTGAGGTGACAACACAAGACACATTTGTGTATATTGCCTCAAGCCTTTCAACCTCCAGTGCATGATTTCCTCACAAAGTAGCACTTGCAACCAGTGAATTATCCTCATCCACACCAGGCAAATTAACATTGCTAATCCCCTCTACATGCATAGGAGCCAAAATGATCAATAAATTGATCGTAGGCCCTTAATATATAGAAGAAGAGTCTGGAAAGGAAACTGCTTGAAGAGATTTATGGAACTATTAACACTCTTGGTGACTTTTTAATTTTAAGTGAGAAACCTGAAATGAAGTAATTGTTAACAATTGATGGTAAAGCATTCGTGGGAGTTATTTAGCCGATATCAAGGAACAAATAAAACGCTCGTCGATGCACAAGCGAAGAAATTTGGTTTCATTACATTTATTGAATTTTCTCAGAAATATCTTTGTAACAAAATGTTGAAAAGTTTCAATAGCTCAAAAAATGTGAAGTGATTGATACCGCTTTACTTGTAATTGTCATTCATCTAAAAATGTTGTTAGCGGATTTAGATGAAATGTTTGTTATTTAAATCAAACTGATTTTTCAACTCGAAAGATGCAACCAATGTTAATGGATTGGTCTGATATTTCAAATATGCAATTTTCAAGAATAACTCGCAGAAATTCAAAAATGTTAAAAATCTATTTTATATTAAAGGAGCTATTACATTCCTGTAGTCTATGGAATGGGTAATACAAAATTTGTTTGCTCCATCCTGCTGTTGGTACTTTGCTATAACCAAGGGGTAGTACAGAGTCTGTATGGTCCATGCTGCTGCTGGTACATTGCTTTGGGCAGTACAGAGTCTGTATGGTCCAAGTCTTTGGTTTTAAAGATGTGCACCCAACATTTTATAAGGAAAGCATTTTGAATAGATGTACAAAAGTTGTGTTTATTGCCTTCGACTTAGAAGATAAGATAAAGCGTATAAAGATGATAGAATCCATATAATGTTACGTTATTATTATCATAAACCTTGATTGATCATTTGTTAAATATAGTAACTACACTCTCCCATAAAAGTGTGGAATCTACACTGTCCCATAAATTTGTGGTAACTACACTATCCCATAAGTTTGTGGTAACTACACCCTCCCATAAGTTTGTGGTAACTACACTCTTCCATAAGTTTGTAGTAACTACACTCTCCCATAAGTTTGTGGTAACTACACTCTCCCATAAGTTTGTGGTAACTACACTCTTCCATAAGTTTGTAGTAACTACATTCTCCCACAAATTTGTGGTAACTACAATCTCTTATAAGTTTGTGGTAACTACACTCTCCCATAAGTTTGTGGTAACTACACTATTCCTTAAGTTTGTGGTAATTACACTCTCTCATAAGTTTGTGGTATTTACACTCTACCATAAGTATTTGGTAACTACACTCTCCCATAAGTTTGTTGTAACTGCACTCTCCCATAAGTTTGTTGTAACTACACTCTCCCATAAGTTTGTGGTATTTATACCCTCCCATAAGTTTGTGGTAACTACACTCTCCCATAAGTTTGTAGTAACTACACTCTCCCATAAGTTTGTGGTAACTACACTCTCCCATAAGTTTGTGGTAACTACACTCTCCCATAAGTTTGTGGTAACTACACTCTCCCATAAGTTTGTAGTAACTACACTCTCCCATAAGTTTGTGGTAACTACACTCTCCCATAAGTTTGTAGTAACTACACTCTCCCATAAGTTTGTAGTAACTACACTCTCCCATAAATTTGTGGTAACTACACTCTCCCATAAGTTTGTAGTAACTACACTCTCCCATAAGTTTGTTGTAACTACACTCTCCCATAAGTTTGTCATAACTACACTCTCCCATAAGTTTGTAGTAACTACACTTCCCATAAGTTTGTGGTAACTACACGCTTCCATAAGTTTGTGGTAACTACACTCTCCCATAAGTTTGTGGTAACTACACTCTTCCATAAGTTTGTGGTAACTACACTGTCTCATAAGTTTGTGGTATTTATACCCTCCCATAAGTTTGTGGTAACTACACTCTCCCATAAGTTTGTAGTAACTACACTCTCCCATAAGTTTGTGGTAACTACACTCTCCCATAAGTTTGTGGTAACTACACTCTCCCATAAGTTTCTAGTAACTACACTCTCCCATAAGTTTGTGGTAACTACACTCTCCCATAAGTTTGTGGTAACTACACTCTCCCATAAGTTTCTAGTAACTACACTCTCCCATAAGTTTGTGGTAACTACACTCTCCCATAAGTTTGTGCTAACTACACTCTCCCATAAGTTTC